TCCGGATCGCTTAACGGGTCTGGATTCGGGTCTTTAGGGAGGAAAGAAGTGGTAACAACACCAACAAGCCGAGTGAAACGAGCGTTAGGTTTAAAGATGCTTAAAAGATCACCGTCTAGGCGAATGTCGACGGTAGGGGCAGTTGCGGGGGGAGTCATGTCAGCTCCTACTTCTCCCGGTAATGGAAGCATAGGAGGCGGTTCGGGACACCTTAGCCCCGGGGGTGGCTTCTTGACAGTCCCGCCTTCTCGGCCTAGACGACCGTTAACTTCTGCTGAAATCATGAGACAACAAATGAGGGTGACCGAACAGAGTGATACTCGGCTTCGGAAAACCCTAACGAGGACGCTTGTTGGTCAAGTAAGCTCCTCTGTTTTCTCCATCATGAACAAAGCTCTGTTTCTAGATTACTTATATGTCTTTTAATGGTTATTCTTCAGTCGGTTAGGCGTGCAGAGACGATAATTCTTCCGTTAGAGCTTCTTCGGCATGTGAAAATATCGGAGTTCGGTGATGTACATGAGTATCAAATATGGCAAAGAAGGCAACTCAAAGTCCTTGAAGCTGGTCTTCTTCTTCACCCATCAATCCCTCTTGATAAGACCAACAACTTTGCAATGCGTCTACGAGAAATCATCCGTCAAAGCGAGACGAAACCTATGGATACCGGAAAAACCTCAGAAACAATGTCTACACTTTGTAACGTTGTGGTTTCCTTATCTTGGCGCAACGCCAATCCGACCACCGAAGTATGCCATTGGGCCGATGGATACCCTCTTAACATCCATCTCTATGTGGCGCTTTTGCAATCGATATTTGACATACGTGATGAGACTTTGGTTCTTGATGAGATTGATGAGCTCTTGGAGCTGATGAAGAAGACATGGACGATGCTCGGGATTACGCGGCCCGTACATAACTTGTGTTTTACTTGGGTTCTGTTCCATCAATACATTGTGACATCTCAAATGGAACCAGACCTGCTTGGTGCCTCTCACGCCATGTTGGCTGACGTTGCTAATGATGCCAAGAAGCCAGATCGTGAAGCTCTCTTTGTGAAGCTTTTGACTCCGACATTGGCTTCTATGCAAGGATGGACTGAAAAAAGGTATTGCTTTTATAGCTTTGTAATGGACTAACTAACTTGATCAGACAAAAGTGAATCAGATTGTGAATGTTTAATTATAGGTTGTTGTGTTATCATGATTATTTCCAACGAGGGAACGTGGGATTGATCGAGAATCTTCTTCCATTGGCATTGTCTTCGTCTAAGATTTTAGGGGAAGACATGAGTTTCTCTCAAGGAAATAGTCATGAGAAAGGTGATGTTACATTGGTTGATTCTTCAGGGGATCGCGTCGATTATTATATTCGATCTTCGATTAAACACGCTTTCTCAAAGGTAATTGAGAACATGAAGGCCAAAATAGAAGCAACAAAGGAAGGAGAAGAAGCGGCGAATATGCTTCTTCAGCTAGGTAAGGAGACAGAGAACCTCGCTTTGCGGGAGCGCGAGTGTTTTAGCCCGATACTTAAGAGATGGCACTCTTTCGCAGCTGGTGTTGCCTCGGTTTCGCTTCACCAATGCTACGGTTCAATCTTGATGCAGTACTTGGCGGGTCGGTCGGGTATCACCAAAGAGATTGTGGAAGTTCTACAAACGGCTGGGAAGCTAGAGAAGGTTCTTGTGCAGATGGTGGCTGAAGATTCAGAGGAGTGTGAAGATGGAGGCAAAGGCCTTGTTAGAGAGATGGTTCCGTATGAAGTCGAGTCGATTATATTACGGCTTTTAAGGCAATGGATTGAGGAGAAGTTGAAGACAGTTCAAGAATGTTTAAGCAGAGCAAAGGAAGCTGAAGTATGTTTATCAAAAGCTTTACTTGTGTTTCAAGAAACAAAATGAAATGATTCATCATTTTAATATTTTTTCTCTTACGTTCTGTAGACATGGAACCCGAAATCGAAATCAGAACCTTATGCACAGTCTGCTGGAGAGTTGATGAAGCTAGCGAATGACGCGATCGACGAGTTCTTCGAGATCCCGATTGGGATCACAGAGGATCTTGTTCATGATCTCGCTCAAGGGTTAGAACAACTCTTCCAAGAATACACCACTTTCGTTGCATCTTGTGGTAAGTGTGAAAAAAACGAAGTATGTAAAAGGGTAAATCCGTCATTTCATATAAACGGTTGGTGACTCTGTTTTTGGTTTTTGTCAGGTTCAAAACAGAATTACATTCCTACGCTTCCTCCTCTTACAAGATGTAACAGAGACTCCGCGTTCATCAAGCTTTGGAAGAAAGCAACGCCGTGTACCGCCTCCGGTGAAGATCTTGCCAACATCGGCGGTGGCGCAACAAGTGTCCCGGATGGCCACCACCCGCGTCCCTCCACGAGCCGCGGGACACAACGTCTCTACATTCGTCTCAACACTTTACATTTCCTAAACACTCAACTTCATTCCATCAACAAATCCCTCTCTCTAAACCCGAAGGTCCTTCCCGCGACGCGGAAACGCTACCGCGAACGGACCAACTCCTCCTCTTACTTCGACTTCTCGCACGCGGGAATCGAATCCGCGTGCCAACATGTCTCCGAAGTCGCGGCTTACCGTTTAATCTTCCTCGATTCATACTCAGTTTTCTACGAAAGCCTCTACGTTGGGGACGTCGCTAGCGCGAGGATCAAACCCGCGTTACGAATCTTGAAACAGAACTTAACGTTAATGACCGCGATTCTTGCGGACCGAGCGCAAGCACTAGCGATGAAAGAAGTCATGAAAGCTTCATTCGAAGTGGTTTTAACGATTCTCTTAGCCGGAGGACACTCTCGAGTCTTCTATCGAACGGATCACAATCTAATCGAGGAAGATTTCGAGAGTTTAAAGAAGGTGTATTGTACTTGCGGCGAAGGGTTGATACCGGAGGAAGTAGTGGACCGAGAGGCAGAGACTGTAGAGGGAGTGATTGAGCTAATGGGACAACCGACCGAACAGCTTATGGAAGATTTTAGCATCGTGACGTGTGAGTCAAGTGGAATGGGATTGGTCGGGACCGGACAAAAGCTTCCTATGCCTCCAACGACTGGTCGATGGAACAGGTCGGATCCGAACACGATCTTGCGAGTTCTTTGTTATAGAAACGATCGTGTAGCTAATCAGTTTTTGAAGAAATCATTCCAATTGGGTAAACGAAGATGACACTAGAAGGAAAAGAAAAAAGAAAAATGGTCGTCTCGATAAGACCTTGTGTATGTATTATTGATTTAAAGAGTTACAAAACCAAAAAAATACTTGTACGTACTTTGCCTTGTTCAATAGATTTCTCAGATATATATAAATAGAAAAAAACCCTTCTTATATGATTCTCGATTAAAAGTTGCAAACAAAGTTTCATTCTCTAACCACAAGACCAAGAAGTTGCAATTTGTGAACTTGCAATACAAAAAAGTTTGGTGGGAATCTGGGAAACGTAATGTTGATCAACTAATTAAGCCTTAAAGACCATTGAGAAAAACGGGCTTGATTCTGTTGCCAAGAAAGCCAGCGTAGAGAAAATATAGAATAATCTGAGGTATGTACATTTCTTGTCACAAAACATTATCACCCTTTTGTTTTCCTACTCGTCTTTATGGAATTTCTTATCATAATATATGTCTTCTTCATTAGAATCATTGAATGATCACCAGAACTGCAACTAGAATCGAATAGAATCTCTCCTATGGTTTCATCACTTCTCTGGTGGTTAACCATTGCCTTTTGTGAAACAAAATTATGTTTTTTTTCTCTCTATGGAACAGTCAAGAAAGACGAGACTATTCACATACATACACACGCAATACAAGGTGAACAAAAACCATTTTATAGGTTTTAGTCTTTGTCGCTGGTATTATCATTACATTTATCGACTGATTGAACAGTCGTATTCTCGGGTTTTGCTTTCGTCTTCCTCATCGATAGCTCTCCTCCTCCTGATCCTTTCAGCTTCCTATCACGTGATGTAGACTTTCTATGAGTAGAACTGTCTGAAAGAGGATAAGAACCTTCCATGTCGGCAGTTGTTGAGACAGCACGCCTTCTCCTGACTGATGGATCATTCGATGAATCCATCGACCCGTGCCTACTCCGGTGATGACGTCTCGAGTGTTTCGGTAGCATATCTGATGATGATACATTGCTGCTTCGCCGAGGTGGAGAACCGTTTTGTGACAGCGTCTCGGATTTACGCCTCGTCTTCTTTTGCTTCGGTTTCTCGGGAGGTGGCAACAACTCTTGTAATCCAACTCCTCCTATTTGATTGTTGTTAGCATCTCCTCGAGATACAACTTGACCATTCTCACTTTCTTGAGGTTTGAAGTCACTCATCTACAAGTTTTTATACCAATGATGAGTATATATAATATACGTATGCGTACATATGGTAAAATACGTATAAATGTACAAACCGTACCCAGCTTGGCGTATGGTCTGCGGGACCATCGGATCCGATATGGGCGACATGCTTTACATCGGTCGGAAACCCGATCTGCATATCACGGTCTTTATCTTCGTCTGCAGTTAGGTTTTTGTTAATAACTTGTGTTTCAAGAAAAGTCAAAATGTTGATTTGCGTTGATGAGACTCACCGAAAATCTGAGTTATGTAGCGAAGGCCTTTAAGAAGACCTTTCACGGTCGTCGCCATCTCGGGAGGAATGGTTTTTTTTTTTTCCGGTTAGTGCGAACCCCCTAACTTGTAGATGTTGCGATTATGCTAAGTTGCGAAGCCCTAACTTGTAGATCAAGCAAAAAGAACAAATTAAACGTCTATACCGTTTGATTAACGGATTTTCGCAAATAAATATTTAAAAAGTTCGGATCATATACAAACAAGGAATCTAACGAGATTAGAAAATTCAAACCTTGATCACATTGATTTTCATTCTCTCTTAACAGAGAGATAATTGAAAGAAACAAAATTTGGAGAAAGAGAGAGAGATTAGATTTCAGACTTAGTCTTTGCTTGAGAAGAAGAGGGAGAGAACTAAACTTTATTTACCCAAAAAAAAAAAGAGGAAAACTTTTTCAAGG